TCATTTTTTGTTGGCATAGGGATCATTTTCCCGTGAGGTCTACTGCCTCTGTGTGTGAAAGAAAAAGAAGTACCTGGACTTCGTCGGCTGTAGATTGATCGGCGGTGGGTTGAGCCATGGCAGAGCAGCGAGAATGAGAGAGACAGAGAGAGGGGGTCTGAGATGGGTCTTCTGAAAAAAGAAAGAGAGAGATAGGGGAGCGTCTGAGAGAAAGAGTTTGACGGGTTTGGGTAACGTGCAAGTGTTGGGTCACTTTTTAAGTAAGCGGTTTGGGCGGGATTTTTTTTTTTTTTTTCTGTGATGAATTTTTAATCGTTAGATGAGATTAGATGAAATTTGGACCGCTTAAAAAAAGTTAAATTTAATTTGAATGTTTTTCAAAGGGACATCGGTGACCGTTGAATGAATTGAAACCGCCCTATTTTATATTATATATATTTATATAATAAAATAGAACATAGTTTAAATTTTGGAGACAAAGAGAGGTCGAGATCACTTTGAGACAAAACATAAACATATTCAACAGACAACGTAATTTTAACAAAAAATATGATTCAGATCATCTCATAAATATTGATCCGATGATCATAATTGGATTTAACTCTAACACTCCTATCTCTCATATAGTTCTCTCTCTTATCTCTTAAATATTTTAAACACACTAGTTCATCTCCTCACTCTCTCTATATATCTATATAATAAAATAGAGATGAGTTTAAATTTTAAAACTTATTTTGAGTTTTTTGTGGCTCAGATCAATTCTGAATAAAAGATAAGTTATATCAAATGGTCTATCTTTTCACTAATTTTTTGTAGCTCAAATCAACTAAATAATATTGATCCTACGGATCAAATTAATAGATGATTTTTGTTTTTTCTCCCAAGCCACTTTCCATTTTTACTTCTCAAGTTTAACGCAACTCCTTCCCCAAATTCACGCCCACAAATATTCATATTTGATTCCTTAATCACATAATATCTTTATTCTCCTTCTTTTGCAGGCATATAGATCATCCCTAATTTCAATTATTACGAAATCTTCCCCTATCTTTTACCCAAATTTTCGTCCCCAATTTTGGCCACACAGGTCTAAATCCTTGGGCAATATTCGATTGCAGTCTCTTCTCATCTTTCCCCCCCGTCGACTCCCTCCCTCCCTCCCTTCTCACCTTCTCTCCTGTCTCGCTCTCTTCGCCGATTGAAGCCAACAATAGCCACCGTCAATGCAGCCAGGTATGTGTGTGTCTCTCTCTCACTATCTATGCTCATCTCCTCCCCCTCTTCTCTCTGCACTCTCTCTCTTATCTCTGCCCCGTTGGTAACGGAGACCCACTGTCACCCAATGATGCCCAACAACAGCCACCCATCGACGCCAGATATTTTCATCTCTTTCTCTTCCTCTCTCTCCTATCTCTGATTCCACCAATCACGGTCATTCTATGCCTCCCCTCCCCTGTTCTTCTCCTTTATCTCCCACTCTGTACTACTATACTTCAAACTCACCCTACCCAAATCCAAACCCAAACCCAAGCCCAAGCCCAAGCCCACATCCCCCGTTCTCTCCTTCTACTCTCTATGCATACATACCACCATCACCCATCACCCATCACCCTTTCCTCTTCTCCCCCCTCCCCCCACCAAACTTAACCATCAGAACCTCTCCACCGCCACCGCCACAGCTCCTCTTTCTCTCCCTTTACTCTCTGCGCATACCCTCAATGCATACACACATCACACACCCACACAACAGACACGTCCTGATGGCTTTGTTAATTTCCACTTTTTGGACTTGCTCGCAAGATGTTTGAAAAAATGACTGACAAGGATATGGTTTTTTGGTTTCTGTTTGGTCCACTCTTTGGTTTCTTGGCTTTCTGTGGGCAATGGGTTGAATTTATTTTTCACTTGGATAGGGTTTGCTTGATTTTTGTTACTATTTATACGACATTTGTTAGGTTCCCTTCCTTGGGGTTTAATTGTTTTTTTATTTTCAAAATAATTTCTAACTAAATCCTTTTTTTTCTTTTTTTATGCAAGAGCAGTAGGACCACATTTTCGTATTGGTGGCAAAAAATATGGTGCTCCGCAATGGAAATTTTGTGTTTAGTTTCCATTATTGTAATATCTTTTTGCTGCATTACCATTTTAACAATTGTTGTTCAATATTTTATTCCATTTTGTTTGTTTTTTATATCTACTTTTTTTCCCTATTGTATTATTAGTTTGCTACCATCCATTGTTAATCCTGCTTTTCAAAACTAATTTCATGTGGCTGACAGGTTGAGTATCTTAATGTTTGATCTCTCATAAAATTGATGTTTGACACTTCCTTGGCCTCAACTATTCATGTGTATTGTTGTTTAGGTACTAATAATTTTAATTAATATTCTTTTAATTCTGTTTTTGCTTATATATTTAATCTCTACTGGAAGGTAGTACGTGATTTATCAATTAGTTTTGTTTGGTTGTGGAACATGTTCCTTCAAGTCATATGCCTCTTACTAAATAGTTAGTTTGAGTGAAAGTTTTGAGTTTGGATTGATTTGCTTCATACACAGGTTTTCATAGACCATTTGATGAAATAGCAAATGAAAGATGGTGAAGCTCCTGCCTAGAGGGATAGAGATGTTGAGAAACTTCATTCCACTTGGTAAGCTTGCTCCACTTTCCATGCTGTTGTTTTGAAATTTATGAAAATGACACACTCATTATTCTTTTCCCACTGGATACCAATATTTGGTCAACACACAATAAAGAAACCTAGAAAAACACATAGAGAATGGATGCAATTAATTTTGTTCGGGTCGTCGAGTCATCAATTAGATCGAGGCTTGATCTTCTTATCCTTTATTTTACCAACAGCAGCAACATCTTCGACAAAGAGTTTTGCTTGCTGCGTATTTGGGGAATCTGCAACGACAGTAATAGATTCTCTTGCTGGGATTGATTCTTTTGTTGGGATTCATTACGTGTTTGGTTTAATAATTGACCTTTATGTGAATACTTTATAAAATGTCTTTGGTATGGGTATTGATGGGATGATTTTGACGAAGTGGTGTATTTCTGTTGGGATTTTACCCAGTTCTTTTTGTGGGTTTGGTTTTGATAACATTTTGATAAGGTAGAAACACTTTACAGGCATGAGGTGATTAATACATTTTTCAATATTTTTGTCTTCATTATGGTCTTCTTCTTGGTTAGTTTGTGTGCTGAGTTTTCTAATGAATTGCCCATGTTTTTGTGTCGGGCCATGTTATGCACATTTTGTGCATTGTTTTTGGTAATACTATGTTAAAAACATATAGGTTTCTATGAAGTATGCCCTTTTTGTCCTTTCATCAATTGAAAGTGGCCGATTTTTTTATTTTGTTTCTAATTATTATTCTTTTATTTTGATTAGTTTCAAATGGGTTCAACATTTTACTTGTACTGGGAAAGTTTTAGCTGCTTATTACGCAAAAAAAAATTGGAAAAATTTGACTGACTTGAAGCATTTGGGTACACTTGAGTGTATCAATTTTATGGTTTGTTCAGTGAATAATAGCTTATACAAGCATGTACTACCTTTACCAATTAAATTCACTTACCCTTTGGTTTTGGTTTTGGTTTTGGTTTTGTTTTCTTAGACATAATTTGATTTTTGGATCTATGGCATCATGGAGGTATGAAACCGAACTTTGTGGTGGTGTAGGAAGAAATCAAATCAGATTTTATACTCCCACAGATGACCAGTTTTGTGGACAACTCTCTGGGAGATATTTTTGGGTTCATGCAGATAAGGAAGGGATTTCATGCACGGCTATATAGGTTGTAAGGTTCTAAGTCCTCATGGTTAGGATTTTAAATTTTGAATTATTGAATAAACTTTCCCTCGCTAAGTTGATGTTTAATTTTTAAAAAAGTTTCAATCTTTTTTTAATGTTATATAGGAATTTCGCACACGACCGTTCCTTGGATTGAGCAATTTTTTTGTATTATGCAATGCTTTTAGTCGTGACAAATTTTGTGATTTTTTTGTTTATTACATAGTGCCTTCTGGCATTATCTAGGAATAGTTTTACTATCGATGAACTTCAATTTTGGACCTAGCCATAGTTTTACTATCGTTTGAATTCATGTGTACTTTTTGTTTTTTGCATGCATTTTTTATCATCTACATTTCAACTCTCAAACTTTTCATTGGCTTTGCATGTCAAACTGTGTAATGTGTTAATTTGAATTTGTTTGATTCAAGTTGGTTAATTAAAACTGCAGCATATTGATTGGTATTAGTAGCTTTGTATTGTTTTCTTTAAGGTGTTTTTTCACTTTCTTCCTGTTTCTGTAATGCTAATTCTCCCAATGAATAAAGTTGATTTTACCAAAATAACCTAAAGTATTACCAAAACAAGATTGGGCATAATAAGACCCAAACCTTTTTATTGTACAAAATAGCAAATGTGCAAATTTGGTTTTTGGATTATTGTTGTGATTGTGTTGCGTTGTTGTAGTGTTTATTGAAAACTATGTTCTTTGTTAGTGCTGAAAGAATTGATCTTAGAAATATTTAATTTGGCGACTTTTTTATGTTACATAGTGTCTTCAGGCACGGGCATTAACTAGTGTATATATATCACTTGAAGAAAATCTATGTCACTGTCCTAACCCTACTATCACTGTTCCAAATCAGTGACAAACACCAATCTCACTGTCTTAGGATAGTGACATTTACTCAAATGCCTATCCCACTACACAAACCTCTTTCAAGTTTGCAAGATCAACAACGATGCTTGTGACATATTAAGGATAAGATATATGACACTCCTTGCTATAAATGATTAGCCAATACCCACATCAATTTGAACAATAGAGGTTTCTATAAATATTTAAACAAGAGTTTGAAAAGCCCATTCAACTTGAAAACCACCTATTTGAGAATTGGTGTAAAAAGAAGCATTAAAACAGATAATTCAAATGTTTAGATCGAAGGAGTGAGATGGAAAAGAAAGGAGAGAGAAAATTTAGATAGAAGAGATAAGAGCGAATGAAAGAAGAGAGAGGATAGAGAGAATGGCAAAAGAGAGAGGAGAGAGAATGAGTGGGATTGAAGAAAGAGGAAAGAGAACTTTAAATAAAAGATGGAAAACAGAATGATAGAAGAGAGAGGATAGAAAAATTGAAGAAAGATAGAGGAGAGATAAATTGAATGAAGGGACAGAAGAGAGAAAGAGTGTGATGAAAGATAGAGGAGAGAGAAAAAAATTTAAGGAAAAAGATAAAAAAGAGAGAAAAATGGGACGGAAGAGAGAGATAAATGAGGTAATAACAACAAAGGGTATTCTTGTCATTAAAAATATACATATTGACTAATGTAGACTATATACCTCATATTTTCTATCATGCATGTATCTAATAACTTAAAAAATTTGTAATTGTCCTTATTGGCAAAAAAGAAGGATATTGGCTTCAAACATTTTGAGGCTCCTCATTTTTGGGGGCCCTAAGTGAACATTTCATCTATTTATAGTTTGGGTCGGCCCTACTCACTCACTCATAATCCTTTGTATAGGCATATTTGTGTCGCGTATAAGCCATGTTTAGTTAGGGTTCATGTTATGTTTAGTCACATATGTGTTGAGCCATTTCCTTAAGTTGTCTAGGATCCACTTCCTTACTTTTGAACCCGCAACGATTAGGCTCAATTTCGCTAATATTTTTTTGCTTTTGTGTTGCATTCACAGGTCATGTCTAGGGTTCTCAACACGAGGTGCTAATAAGGCCTTTTGACAGAGGTTATGACTACTACGTACGGTAAGCTAGAAAGGGGTGATGAAAAGGATGAATTTAATTGCAACTAGGCCTTTCATTGAATCATATTGATTAGTATTTTTGACTGCTAATTTAAATCCGAATCAAAATCAGTTATATTTCATTTCACATACTTGGATTTGTGTCTAACAAACATCGATCAGATTGTAATCGGATTCGAAGCCAATCAAATTTTTTATAAAATCTTATGAAATTAGATGATGAGTTACAGCTATGGAGATGATGGTAACGACGATGATGGTAGGATGGGTGGTGAGGAAGATGGGGTTATGTGGTGGTGGTGGTTGCAGTATGGTGGTGGTGGTGATGGCGTGGTCATGTGGGAATGATTGTGGCAGGGAGGCGGCCAAGTGGCAGTGGAGGGGGTGATGGTTGTGGTTGGCAATTATTGTGGTTGGGTGTTGCCACCAATGGTGATGACAATGGTTTTAGATAGGTGATGCTAGTGGTGGTGGTGGTGATTAATGGAACATAGTTATGACATAAAATTGATTAAGATTATAATATTTAATAAAAATTGATACGCCATGAACTTTTATATAATCATGGAGGCATCTATAGTAATTATGCCAATCTTTTATTTTATATTTCTTCATCGGGCCTTTTATATATTACTATTGAGTACATCTGAACAAATTATGTATGGTCTACTTGCTTGCCCAGTGTCGTCACTTCTGCATTTGATACTTTGAAGTAATTCGTCACAGTCTTGCCTTGTAACTCTTCCATGAAGTATCTCTGCATGAAATCCGCGAGTGTGAATTGCCGATAAATAGCCGGTTTCTGTGGCGCCACCAATTCCGGCAATGGTCCATACAATGTGTCAACCTTGCTTGGGCCAAAAAAATATGGAACAGAGACTCGTGGTTCGCGCAAAGGGTTGGCCAACACTCGATGCTCTACGCTTTTGTATATATCATTGGACAGGATCTGTAAAACAGAGTTTAAGCAATCTTGAGAATTGCATTTTAGGATAGTATTACTATGCACACACTGACCATTTGTTTTACAGTCTGATTATGATATTAAAAAATTATTTTTGGATATCAAAATTACTTTTCGATATCATATGTTCAGTTTTGATTTAATAAAAACATGTATATAATATTCTCATTTTATTATCTTACATTGCGTTATTTTTTCTACTATCAATGATTACAAATCTCAATCAAATGGTACCCACACATTATTAAGTGGCCTACCTGAAGCATATCTGCGATGTTGATGACAAGACCACCAGGCACAGGCTCCACATCAATCCAATCCTCACCATGTTTCACCTGCAACCCAACAATCTCATTCTGCAACACCACCGTCAGCATCCCGGGATCCGTATGCCACTTCAGACCGATCGTCAACTCTGGTTGTGGACAGTACGGATAGTAATGTCCAGACAAGTTTCTGGAATCCATAAACGACTTATCCTTTAACCTCTCTCTTTCTAATCCCAATCCCTCGCTTAGCATCCCCATCAACTCCTCTCCCAAATTCACCACCTCGCAGTCCCACTCTGCCAGTGCTTTCCTGCACACTTCCGGAACATACTCCCATTCCGGAGGTGTGGGGCCAAGACGGACTTGTAAAGAGTCCCTCCAGTGTGCGGCCTTGGACTCGTATAAATCAAAGTTTGTAAAATAACCTGCACCATGAGACATATCCCTGCAGTAATACTGCATTCTTGTAGTCTCCGGCAATTCATGAAAGGACTTGACAGAAGAGAGCACGTGATCCATAACTTTCATTGGAATGCCATGGTTGATTACCTGGAAGAACCCAAGAGTGGAAGCGGAGTGATGGATCTGGTCAACCACCGTTGATTGGGGATCGGAAAGGTCAATGATGGGGATCGAGAGTTTGGGTTTTTGGGTATTTAGTTTTGGGGTGGGCATGTTGTGGGGTGGCTGGTGGAACATGCGAGGGATGGTGGTAAGGCCCGAATCAACGATATTAGTTTCTAAGGCCCAATTTTTGATTCATCGAACTTCTTAACTTCTTGGAGTCTGTTGTAGTGCTGAATTGGGATGGTGTTGGTAATGGTAGTCATTTGTATTTTTTCTCTCTAAAATATAGATGCAAATGTTGATGGCTAGTATGAGAGAAGTAAGAGGGACAAGGTGAACAATATATATATATATATCCGAGTATTGTTAGGTTTGCCGGCCGTTGACTTTTTTTATATATATTTTTTTTTCGTGGGTATTGTTATACTAAACAACCTCACTTTCAAAATTAATAAATCTGTTTTTTAATGGCTAATAAGTGAGGTTTTGTTTCATTGTCGGCCGGAGCCGAAAGAATCTTTGAAGCAATCCCTTCTCTATGGTTGCCATATGTTATTTTATAAAGACGGTGATGATGCAACAAGAATCGTTCAGACAATTGTTGTTGTGTAACAAATGGTTGAATTTCATTTTGGATATTCATTTCCATTGGACAGCGGCATCTTCACCTCCATTGGTCCTATTACTACGACTTCCATTTTGTTATAGTTTTTACTCAACTTTAGGTCTTGTCTTGTCTCTCCATAAAAGATACTTCAAGAGCCTGAGTAGCTACATCACCAGCTTCTTCTTCAATTATGGGTTTAATAGTTTCCCCACAATTCATAAAGAGATGCAATCGTGAGCGAATGAAGTTAGAGATTTTTTTTTATTTCAAAAAGAACTTAGAAACTAATATCCCCAAAAGAAAAATTACACCAAAGAATAGCTTGAAATGGTAAAATGTGTTTTATCGACTTCATATCCTGTCAAAGTTTTCTCAGCACATAACTTAGCATGGTTCAAAGTCGCACAATTGACAATAGATTCGGAGAGTTCTGAAATACATCTATCGTGGTATCGGACGATACAACCTAAAAGAAGAAGTTAAATATGAAGAGAGATTCAGGATATACAACATCACAGAATCGTATTGATCGATTCGTTGACGATAACTCAGCAACTTCAGATTGACTCAAATGATTTGGTCGGGTAGTTTGAAACTCAAGATTTATACCTAATGTATGATAGTATCGACTGGGGAGGTACCGAGTCAGATAGGACTCGGTTGATACTTTGAGCCTTGTAACCCAGCCAATAATAATCTTGTATTAGGAATGTTTGTATTGTGTACAAGGGGTGTGGTCGTTTTCATGCCAAGTTTAGTTGAATTCTTGTTAACTCATTATTTGACGAGTATGTTTGGTGGGTCAACTTGTTCCAAACTCATTACACTAAACTTAGATTTGTTACTTCTGTGTCGATTTTCATATCGAACTTGTATATTATGTGTGGAATTGTCGGTCATAGGTGTTGAGCATATATTTGAGAGAGGTGTTGACAACAATGAGGAGTTTGATTGCAATTAGGCCTTTTACTGGATCAAATTTGGATTCGATACTTTCGATTGATAGTCCAGACTAATTCAAGGCCCCCGGCATCACATTTTGCATAAGCATATAGCAATATCGATCAGATTGCAAGCCGATTTGAAGTTAATATATATATATATATATATATATATATATATATATATATATATATATATATATATATATATATATATATATATATATATATGATGGAGTTAAGCGTTTATTTCATGTATTTTATAGGTAATTTGCGAAAATTTAGCCTAATTGAGTTCTTCATATTATATTGGATTTGCAGATCGATTTTTAGATTTTTTGCGGATTTAATATGGACTATAATAATAAAATTGATTGGATATGAACAATTATATTTGGTCCAACTAATTGGATTCAGACGATGAGTTGCAGGTATGGGAATGATGGTGGGGTGGAAGGTGGAGATGATGGGGTTGTGGTAGTGATGGTGATGGTGATAATTGATGAGGTGCTAGTGGAAGTGATCGTGGTGGTAGAATGGTGTCTATGGTATTAAAGTTTTAGCGTGGGATTGGTTGTGGGAGGGATGGTGGGGGCTGGGGAGGTGGCCAAGTAGTGGTGCCGGCGAGTGGTGATGGTCCGATGGGGAGGTAGCAATTTGGGGATGATGGAGGTTGTGGCGATGTATTTGGTTGGAAGGTGCCGTCAATTGTGATTGATGACATTGGCGGTGAGGTAATTAAAACATGACATCTTATTTATGATGATGCAGGTACCTAATGTGAGAATTTAATAAAATATGCACTTAAATTGTGAAGTTACGAGTAGTTTTACGTGAATTTAAAAAATAAATTTTTTATTTTTTAAGTTTATATAACATTGTTCTTTTGCTATTAGCAAATTTCAACTTGTACATTCAAATCTTAATTTATATTCTCAAAGTTGAAAAACATTAATTTACACTAAGAAAGATATAAATATGTGCATCTGAGACTAATTATCATCTATTTTGTCGTTAAAAAAATTTGGGTTTATTATAAATTGTACCCCTCAAAATTTAAATATTTTACACATATGATTCAAAAAGAATCTCATTCATTAATGCTCGTTAACAGCTCCCAGTTGTATCGTGTCATAACATTTTCATATCGTGTCGTGTTCGAGTTAATAAAATAATATTTTTAACACAAAATATTTTCGTGTCAAGTCAATTGCATTGTGTCATATATTTCACATTTACGACAATTCATTTTAAATATTAAAAAATACATATTTTTTACAAATAATATTCATTAAGTAACTGTTTTCTATCTACAATTGTGGTCATTGGATCTAACTTTATTTTGATTGGACAATTAAAATATTTGTGTCTAACTGTTCACAAAAAATTATTATTTAACGAATATTTTATGCAAAAATAAGTATTTTATAATTTTTTTTAAGTTAAATTTTTTTTTATTTACTTGAGCAGGGCTCGAAGATGTCATGATACAATAAAATTAAGAGCTATTTAACAACGTTATTAGATGACATTCTTTTTGGATTATAAATATGAAAATATTGAAACTTTGAGGAGAATAATTTATAATTAGTCCAAACTTTTTAAGAGCAAAATGGATGGAGTTAACTCCAGGTGCACATTGATACGAATTTATGTTTTTTAGGGTATAAATTAATATTTTAAAATTTTAAGGGTACAAATTAAGATTTGAATTATCTTTTAAGATACAAATTGAGATTAACCTTTTGAGATTTGAATGATCTTTTAAGTGGTTAACTAGGTTATCAAACATCGGCTAAGATTAGAAAAAAGAAAAAAAAGTTGAAAAAATTTACAAAAATTGGATCCCAACATATCCTTGCTAATTTATGCCTCACTCATCCTAGAAATAAGTTATTACTGCATTAATTCAATTAGAAGGAGTTGAATTTGTTTTTTAGGGTGACGTTTCAAGAAGTCGAAGTTTCTCAAACATTTTTTTAATTTTTTTTCCCTTCCTAAAAATTTTACCCAAATATCTCACTATCTAAAGTTAAGATCAGACTACGATGAATTTATCCCTCGTGAATACCCTAATTCCTGTATGAATGGGATTTACCTTTGATTGAACTAGAGAGAGAATTAATCGATGTGTGCATAAACTGCTCTAGACATTCTTGACCATTGAACCTAAATTTGGACGAATTTTATTGCCCAAAAAATGTGTCACACACACACAAATTAAATATTCTTGGACCTTTTTTTAGACCCAAAAATTTGATCTCATTTACTTATTGAATAATGTGGTTTCAGTGGAATCATTGGATAAAAATTGAGTTCTCAATATTTAATAAGGTCCACAGTTAATCCAAATATTATAGTGAGTATACTACATCATACTCACTATTTATTTGGGTATGAGTATGCTACATCATAATTGAGCCTCAAAATGTAATTTTAGTCGGACAAGTAAAATTCAAAACTTTATTTGAGATTTGCATAGCCGTCTAGGAAACATAACAGGGTAAACTGAAATGGTAATAGAAATTACAAAAGGGTATGTCTGATCAACTTCTGTATGTTTCTCCCTGCTTGTCCAGTGCCTTTGAAGTAATTTCTCACAGTCTTGCCCTGTAACTCGCCCATGACGTACCTCTGAATGAAATCTGAGAATGTGAATTGCCGGTAAATAGCCGGCTTCTGTGGTGAGACCAGTTCTGGTAATGGTCCGCACAACATGTCAGCCTTGCTTGGGCTGAAAAAATATGGAACAGAGACTCGTGGCTCACGCAAGGGATTAGCCAACACTCGATGCTCCACGCTTTTGTATACATCATTGGACATGATCTGTGAAATAAAATTGAGTAATCCTGAGAATTGCAATTAAGGCTGATTTTGTTATATGCACACACACAGACACAGACACAGACACAGACACAAGACATGGGTAAGAACTAAGAAGTAAGAGGTGTGTGAGTGGCCTACCTGAAGCATATCTGCTATGTTGATGGCTAGACCACCAGGCACAGGCTCCACATCAATACAATCCTCACCATGTTTCACCTGTAACCCAATAATCTCATTCTGCAACACCACTGTCAACAGTCCGGGATCTGTATGCCACTTCAGACCGATTGTCAACTCCGGTTGTGGACAGTACGGATAGTAATGTCCAAACAAGTTCCTGGAATCCATAAACGACTTATCCTTCAACCTCTCTCTTTCTAATCCCAATCCCTCACTTAGCATCCCCATCAACTCCTTCCCCAACTTCACCACCTCACAGTCCCACTCCGCCAATGCTTCCCTGCACACCTCTGGAACATACTCCCATTTCGGAGGTGTGGGGCTAAGGCGGACTTGTAAAGAGTCCTTCCAGTGTGCGGTCTTGGACTCATATAAATTCGAGTTTGTAAAATAACCTGCACCACGTGACATATCCCTACAGTAATATTGCATTCTTGTGGTCTTCGGCAATTCATGAAAGGACTTGACCGAAGAGAGCACATGATCCATAACTTTCATTGGAATGCCATGGTTGATTACCTGGAAGAACCCAAGAATGGAAGCGGAGTGATGGA